TAAGCATCTGAATCACATGGAAGTGTTGGTATAAAACATTTTGATATTTAAGTTACTCCTCTAACAGATTGATTTATTAAAGAATAAGAATCAGCATTTTTTAAAAGTTCCAGTTGGGCAAATGTGGCTGTGTAAGTTATGTCCTGTTGAGAACAACAACAACAACAAATCAACAAATAACTAAATAAATAAGAAAGACACCAGTGGTGATAAATACTGTCAAAGTATCTGTGACAGACAGAGCAGAGACTGTCCCAGTTTTATTTTTGTTACTGTAGTAAAAAACCCTGACAAAAATTACTTAGGGAAGAAAGGAGTTTATTTGGCTTGCCAATTTCAGTTGACAGTCTATCATTGTGGAAATTCTGAGAGAGAAACTCCAAGCAAGATACATCACATTCACAGTCAAGAGCAGACTTTGTGGCTGGAGAGCTGGCTCAGTGGTTAAGAGCACTTGCTGCTTTTGTAGGACTGAGGTTCAGTTCCCAGCATTCTTGTTAGATGGCTGTAATTCCATGACTGGGGGTCCAATGCCCTCTTCTGACTTAGAGCACATGTGGTGCAAGCATGTGCAAGTGCACACACACACACACACACACACACGCACACACGCGCGCCTAAAGAAAAAGGTCAACTGTGGGGAGAGCTGTGGAGGGTTGCTGAGGACAGCCTTAGAGGTTCAGTGGAGGAGGAAGCACTTGACGCAGGCCCTGCTGGTTAAGATTCTACATGGGACAATGGCCTGTCAGTATGGTGAGGAAAGCCAGTGGGTTCTGTATGTGGCGGGTGCTCTGTCTTGGAGCTGGAGAGCTGGCTCAGTGGTTAAGAGCACTTGCTGCTTTTGTAGAACTGAGGTTCAGTTCCCAGCATCCTTGTTAGATGGCTGTAATTCCATGACTGGGGGTCCAATGCCCTCTTCTGACTTAGAGCACATGTGGTGCAAGCATGTGCAAGTGCACACACACACACACACACACACACTGAGAGCACATGTGGTGCAAGCATGTGCAAGTGCACACGCACACACACACACACACACACACACACACACACACACACACCTCCCTTTTATTTTTACTATTTTCTCCATAAACTAATCTCAGATGAAGGAGGAAGAGGCAGTCTGTTGCCAGCCAGTGTCCCGGAGACAGATGAGCTTGACATAAGAAGCTTAGCCAGTGGCTGCAAACTCAGTAGTAACCGCCCTCAAAATCCATGCATTGAAATCTTGACCCCTAACAGGACAGTATTTGAAGAGGGGGCCTTCAGGGAGGTAATTAAGGCTAAATGAGGTCATAAGGTGAGGTCATGTGGTACGGCCTGAGCCGGCAGCAACAGTATCCTTCTAGAAAGGGGGAAGAGGGAAGTACCACAGCTCTCTTTGTCTCTCTCATGCTCACTGGAAATCCATGTAGACACACTGAGGTGGTCATCTGCAAGTCAGAAAGAGAGACCTCACCTGAAACCAACTCGCTGGTCCCAAGTCCTGCTCATCCTTTAGGTCTTAGTTAGGTTCTTGCTTGGGATGAACTTCCTGGTATGAAAGCACTCCCTTTAAAACTTAAGGCAAGTACCTCCCCCACAGCAAGAAGATCAGCATTTCAGGGAAGAGAAAGATGAACTGGAAATGATGAAATAGTCAGAAATCTGTCTTCTAAGCTTCTCTTTCTTGTTTCTATAGGAACCAATTTGAAAGACCTTCAGCTGCATTCTTTGTGGACAAAGTTCCAAAGGCAAGTTCAGGCGTATTGCTTTGCTCTTATTTTCACATTCTCTGATTCTAAATTCACAACTCAGTAGGACTGGGTATTAGGGATTATTAGAAAAGTTTTGGAGAGGTTGGGAAGGTGACTCCATAGAGTGCTTGCTGTGCAAACGTGAGGACCTGAGTTCGACTCTCCAGCACTGATGTAAAAAGGTGCAATGGCAGGTACCTGCAGTTTCAGCATTGTGGAGGAAGAGGCAGGAGATCCCTGGAGCTCAGTGGTCAGCTAGCCAAGCCAATCATTGAGTTCCAGGCCCAGCGAGAGAGACCATGTCTCAACAGGCAAGGTGGAAAGTGTTTGAGGAAGACACTGGACAGCAGCCTCTGGCCTTCACATGCACTCACACACATGCACAAACATGGAGCTCAGTGGTCAGCTAGTCAAGCCAATCATTGAGTTCCAGGCCCAGCGAGAGAGACCGTGTCTCAACAGGCAAGGTGGAAAGTGTTTGAGGAAGACACTGGACAGCAGCCTCTGGCCTTCACATGCACTCACACACATGCACAAACATGCACATACACACACATTGTACATATGCACACCCCACAAATGCTCAGAGTAAAAGTATCATGAAACCAAAGACACTAAGATAATGACTTTTGATGTTTTATGTTTACATTAGACCTTTCCAGACTATTAACCGTTCAAGAACATACAGCTCAAACACCATCACATTTGTTCCTGGCAGCAGCTTTGGATTCAGGCATGCAGGTGTGATATTTTAGAGAGGCGAGGCATTCTCCAGAGTAGCAGAACAGGCTTACACTGAGGTTTGTGAGGGATTTTGTTGTTGTTGCTCGATTTTTGTTTTGTTTTTGAGGCACGGACTCAATATTTTCTCAGCACTTTTCCAGCTCTTAATCCTCCTGCCTCAGCCTCCTCAGTGCTGGGGTTACAGGCGTGTAGCACCACTCTGGATGATTCTGAGTTTTAATTCTAAATGTTTTCATGGATTCATGATGTTCTCCACACAATCTTGTCATATACTCATCAAATTGCGTTTCATAGTTGTGTAAGAAGGCAAGAGATCCACCAACCGTATGAATTTGTAGATCCTTGGAAGTGAACCTATACAGATAGTACAAATTCTCACAAACTTTGAAGTGAAGTCATTATTTTTAAAAGTTTGAGAGTTGAGCCTGTGCTCTGAGAACCAAGGTTAGTACTCTCCATCTTTAGTGAGGACCAGGGAACCCTTCTAGAATCTACTTTTCCTGGTGGAATGCAGTCATAGGCTTGGGTTATGATCAGACTGCAGGAGGCTAGCTCTAAAGGTAACAGTGGTTAAAAAAATGACGTTGAGTCAAGTTAGTGCCCCCAGACATCCCTTAGTGCAAATTTATCTACTGAGGTCTAGTCAACCTATCTAGGTTATCTCACTTTAGGAAGATCAGCTCTTCCTCACCCAGCGGTAATCAGTTGCCAGTATTTACTCAGCTAAGATTTGGGTCAGCTGTCAGTTCTATGCTAGGTTTTTGTCTGAGTTTGCATGGGTCCTATGCATGCTGACACCATTGCTGTAGGTTCATGTGAGCAGGGTCCCAGGAGCTTGTAGGACTATTTCCGTATGGTCATATACCTCCTCCCTGACTCTTACAGTCTTTCCACCCCCTCTTCCGAGCCCTGGGTGGGTGTAGTTTAATAGTCCTTAAGACAAATGACAGAATGTATGAATTCTAGTGAGGATGCTATGGGAGGGTGCTAGTGGGGAAGGGGGTATAAAGATGATTAAGACTGTTTGAGATTTTTTAAATAAAATACACAAAAATTCAATTAAAAAAGAGATTTGAATCCTGCTCCCACTGTTTACTGGCTATGGCAGAACTTGTGAATAGGTTCTTTAAATTCCCAAGGCTTCTGATTCCTCAAATACAAGTAGGGTGTTAACAGTTTGTAATGAATCTGCTTGTGAGGAACCTGAGATAGTGCAAGGGAAAGGGCTCTGCCCAGTGGGTGACTGACAAATAGAAGATGCTGCAGCTGGTTCTGTTATAACAAGAGCCACTGAGTACAAGATTCTGGAGCTGAAGGGTCTGGACCAGGATCGTAGTCAACCGTCCTTACCAGCCATGAGATTGATTGTAAGCACAATGGTTAAGCTCTCTGTGTTTTCCTTCCCTCACCTGTTTCTACCTTGTAAGGGTATTGTAAGACTGTATAATGTGTGACACATAGCAGAACACCAAATAAGTGTTTGCTGATAGAAATACTTCTAACTTCTTTTCAAAAGATTTTGGGCCCAACTGATTTTTGTGTTTGACTGAATTTTCATGTTATAACATTGAGACTTTGAAGAAATTGAGTTTTATTTATTATATTTTAAAAGATACATCTATTTACTTTGTGTGTATATGTGAATATATGTGTAGGAGAGTGTAGGGGATGTCCCCAGCTTGTCATGTGGGTGCTAGGATCCATGCCCTTGTCCTCATGATTTTGTAGCCCCAGAAATGGAGGGTTTTTTTTTTTTTTTTTTTTTTTTGGTCTTTTTGAGACAGAGTCTCCTGGTAGCCCCAGCTGGCCTGAACTCACTATGTAAACCAGACTGGCCTTGAACTCACAGAGATCTGCCTGCCTCTGCCTCCTGAGTGCTGGGATTAAAGGTGTGTGCCAACATGCCTGGTCCCAGAAATGGAGTTTTAGAAATTGTTGCTGGAAATATTTTTATTGTTGAAAAGATTTCACAGTCCAGGGAACCAATTTTAAGTGCTGAACACTGGGCACACAAGTAAGTAAAACTTTCTGCACTTCCTCCCAGGTATTGATATGGTTGGTGAAGCTCTTGCCTTTTTACAAGGCTCCACTTTCAGTTCTCAGGGCCTGTCCAGTGTGGTGAGTGGGTTAAGACTGTGTTACAGTTTGGGCAGTCTCTTCCTCTTGCACACACTAGTTATATTTAGTAGGTTGAGATGAATTCAATATGTTGCATATTGCCTGGAGTCCACTTGATCCCAGAACAGCTGGTTCCATGAGCCAGAATGATTAAGTCCAATTTTAGAGTGAAGACCCAGAAAATAAAACATTCAGAGAGTAGATCCAGTGGGGCTGAGCTGTTACCTCATTCCCACCTGCCGTCTCCTCACAGGTAGCTACTCCACTTCAAGGTTCTTATCTTATTGTTGGACTCAAAATACCGGGTGTAACTGTAATTGGCACACAGGTGTATAGTGCAGCTTGTGGGGAGAGTGTTTATTTTTGAAAATGGAACTGCACTGTTATTTTTCTAATCATAAAAGTAAACCCTATTTTAGAAATGTTCAACTAATGCAAAAACACTGAAACACTATAGAAAAGGCAAAAATTTCACATACTTTTTCTGCATAGAGAAAACTACTACAGACCTGTTGGTGTTTGTCTT